GGACTTCTGAGGATGATGGTGTGGTGAATTTCAGGCTGACGGCTGCAGTAGGCATAGAGAGTGACCAGTCCAGACTGGAGCAAGGGACGGAGGGCTCCAGAGATTACCTGATGTGCTTAGATGTGCTGAGAAGCATTGTGCCATTCTATGGAAGAGTCTGGGCATATGTTAACGATAAATGTATAGAAAAGTAAGTACATGCATATCTTGTTTCACCACACTTTGCTTTACGGAACTTTGCAGATACTATGTTTTTTACAAATTGAAGGTTTTCGGCAAGTCTACAGTACCATTTTTCCAACAGCATATGCTCACTTTGTGTCTCTGTGTCACGTTTTGGTAATTCTCACAATATTTCAAAGTTTTCCATTATTATTATATAGTGATCTATGATCAGTGGTCTTTCATGTTACTACTGTAATTGCTTTGAGGTGCCACAAACCATGCCCATATAAGATGGCAACTTAATCGATAAATGCTGTGTATGTTATGACTGCTCCCTGACCCGCTGTTCCCGCTGTCTCTCTCCCTCTCCTGGAGTGTCTCTATTCCCTAAGATACAACAATATTGAAATCAGACCAATTAATAACCCTTCAATGGCGTCTAAGTGTTCAAGTGAAAGGAAGAATCACCTGTTTCTGTTTAAATCTAAAGCTAAAAATCATTAAGCTTAGTGAGGACACATGTCAAAAGGTGAGACAGGTCAAAAGCTAGCCAAATTGTGAATGCAAAGGAAAAGTTTAGCCAAGTTGTGAATGCAAAGGAATGCTCCAGTTAGCCAAGTTGTGAATGCAAAGGAAAAGTTCTTATGGGAAATTAAAAGTGCTACTTCAGTAAACACACAAATAAAGAAAGTGAAACAGCCCTGTTGCTGATATGGACAAAGTTTTAACAGTCTGGAAAGAAAATCAAACCAGCCACCACATTCTCCTATGCCAAAGCCTAATCCAGAGCAAGGATCTAACTCTCTTTAATTCTATGAAGACTGAAAGAGGTGAGAAAGCTGAAGAAGAAAAGTTTGAAACTAGCAGAGCTAGTTTAAGGAAAGGTTTAAGGAAAGAAGCCGTCTCCATAACATAAAAGTGCAAGGTGAAGCAGCAAGTGCTGATGTAGAAGCTGCAACAAGTCATCCAGAAGATCTAGCTAAGATCATTAATGAAGGTGGATACAGCAAACAACAGATTTTCAATGTAGACAAAACAGCCTTATATTGGAAGACGACACCTTCTGGGATTTTCATAGCTAGAGAAGAGAGGTCAATACCTGGCTTCAAAGTTTGAAAGGACAGGCTGACTCTCTTGTTAGGGACTAATGCAACCAGTGACTTAAAGTTGAAGCCAATGCTCATTTATCATTCCAAAAATCCTAGGGCCCTTAAGAATTATGCTAAACCTGTTCTGCCAGGCTCTATAAATGGGACAACAAAGCCTGGATGAGAGCACATCTGTTGACAACATGGCTTACTGAGTATCTTAAGCCCACTGTTGAGACCTACTGCTGAGAAAAAATAAGCTTCCTTTCAAAATACTACAGCTCATTGACAATGCATCTAATCACCCATCTGATGGAGATGTACAAGGAGATAATGTTGTCTGCATGCCTGCTAACACAACATCTATTCTGGAGCCCAGGGATCAAGGAGTCATTTCAATTTTTAAGTCTTATTATTTAAGAAACACATTACATAAGGTGACAGCTGCCATAGACACTGATTCCTGATGGATCTGAGCAAAGTAAATTGAAAACCTTCTGGAACTGTGTCGGCCTCTTTTACCTGCCCATAATCCTGCAGACTGGGCCAATTTGTAGAGCTAGGGCTGGGTCTGGAGCTCACAGCCCCCTCAAGCCCATTGTCCAGACTGGGTCACAAACCCTTCACACACCAGCCTGGGTCCCCAGACCCTTCACCTGCCAGGCTGGGTCACCAGACCCCTCACACGCCAGGCTGGGTTCACCAGACCCCTCTATGAGCTAGGTAACCAACAAAAAGATCCTTGGAAGCCAGAGCATGGCCACTCGCAGCAGATGCCCGAGGCAGTCACCAGCCACCAGCCAAGCTATAGTGCTGCCAGGCGCACTAACTCCACCCACACACAACTTATTTGCTTACAAAGAATGCACTGCACCAACCCTAACCAGACAGCAGGCGAGGGAGCCTGATTAAATTATTCCATTTTCCCAACAAACAGGTTCACCATTCTAGATGCCATTAAGAATATTTGTGATTCATGGGAGGAGGTCAAAATATCAACATTAACAGGAGTTTAGAAGAAGCTGATTCCAGCTATCATGGATGACTTTGGGGGTTTCAAGATTTCAGTGGTGGAAGTAACTGCAGATGTGATGGAAAACGCAAGAGAGCTAGAAGTAGAAATGGAGTCTGAGGATGTGACTGAATTGCTGCAATCTCATGATAAAACTTTAACAGATGTGGAGTCCCTCCTTATGGATGAACAAAGAAAGTGGTTTCTTGAGATGCAATCTACTCCTGGTGAAGATGCTGTGTATTGAAATGACAACAAAAGATCAAATATTACATAAATTTAGTTCATAAAGCAGCAGCAGTGTTTCGGAGGACTGACTCTAATTTTGAAAGAACTTCTACTGTGGGTAAAAATGCTATCAAACAGTATCACACACCACCAAGAAATCTTTCATGAAAGGAAGAGTCAATCAATGCAGCAAACTTCACTGTTATCTTATTGTAAGAAATTGTCACAGCCACCCCAACCTTCAGCCACCACCACCCTGATCATTCAGCAGCCATCAACATCGAGGTAAGACCCTCCACCCTCAAAATGATTACAACTTGTTGAAGGCTCAGATGATTATTAGCATTTTCCAGCAATAAAGTATTTTTAAATTAAGGTATCTATTTTTTTAAACATAATGCTATTGCACACTTAACAGACTACAGTATAGTGTAAACATAACTTTTATATGCACTGAAAACCAAAAAATTCATGTGACTCACTTTATTGCAACATGTACTTTATTGTGGTGGTCCTGAACCAAACCCACAATGTCTCCAAGGTCTGCCTGTAAATGAAAAAAACTTGAGGCAATTATCAACCCCAAGAAAATGAACAGTTGTACAAGAAAAGAGATGGCTCATCTATAAATGATACTTATATAGTCCTAATAATGTAAACACTGAATATCAACTTAACCAAAATGGTGATATCACTATATTAAAAGGATAAGGAGAGGGAAGATAGGGAAAAGAGAGCTAAATTCCACCTGCCATTATAAAAGTCAAAAGATAATATCTAAAATTGAAAATTCAGAAATAAAAATATAAACATGTTATTTTTAAAACATGAGATTAAGGCTGGCCCATGGCTCACTTGGGAGAATGTGGTGCTGATAACACCAAGGCCACAGGTTCGGATCCCTATATAGGGATGGCCGGTTAGCTCACTTGGGAGAGCGTGGTGCTGACAACACCAAGTCAAGAGTTAAGATCTGCTTAACCAGTCATCTTTTTTAAAAAAACCAAAAAAACAACAAAAAAACCCATGAGATTAAATAGCAGAAAAAACATCTGAGAGAGTTAACAGTGGTTCTTTCTGAAGAGTAGTTACTAAGAGTGAAGGGGGGTGAGGCAAAGGCATTTCTGTTTTTCACTAAAAATCTGATACTACTTGATGGTTTAAAGTGTTAAATTGTTTTAAAACTATTTGTGATATATATAATACACATGAATACATGCATTTTACATACATATGTCACATAATATATAGCATGTTTAATGTATATTGTGTACATTAAAAAGAAAAAGAAAAATATTCCCACAAAAAACAGTTTTTCATTTATATCTTAAGTGTAACCCTCAAGATACCTAAAACTGTATGATCTAGACTCTAAAAAGAATTCCAAAAGAAGAGTTATATTTTCCTAAAGTTACCACTTTGAAGAAAACCAAGAATTGAAAGTTAATGTTTAAGTATGTTTGCTCTAAAAAAACCTGCCTCAGAATTTTATGGTCAGCCATCAAGGACTAGTTAAAATTGATATGTGTTAAGAAAAATTTAAATCCATAGGTCACAGTGGATGACAAGATGAACCAGTCAGTAATGCAGTCACTGTTTGAAAGAGCCGTGTGATGCCAGAAAGCACAATTATACAAAGCAGAAGTGAGATAATCACCTCGACATGCTCAACACCAGTTAGACTCTCACCAGATGATCATGCCAAGATCTGGATCTCACGGCTTGAAAAAGATGCAGAGAACTTGGAGTAGATTCAGATACGAGTTATGGGCAATTAAAAAGCTAGATACTAAGGCCTTTGGCAGCATCCAAGGAAGCTGTGATTCCTCAGTCTAGACACAGAAAAGCAGGGATGCAAACTGTCTCCCAAATGCCTCTCTAGGAAATTATCCAACAAAAAGCTGAGGACCTTTGCGAAAGAGAGAGCAAGAGCTAATGTGCCTAAAATATAAAAGGAGGAATTTAAGTTATATTTAATAAACTTTCAGAGAGTGCTGGTAGCCCACAGTGCAGATAAATTACCAAAGGAAAATGTCTATTCTCCTTTAGTGATCTTAGGGAGTCAGAGAAAGAAAAATGAGAATCTATGCACCTGCAACCCTCGCTCTCTCAATATGGCATCTACATGAATGCCAGGGAATAAACAAAGATTTCTCACTTTACAATTCAGAAACTACATAAAGAAAGAAAAAACAGTATTGTGTTTAAAAAAAAAACGTACCAAGGAAACCCTGAAAGCTGCCTTGCAACCACAAATCCACTGAAAAACTAGGCTGGAAGGGCCACTTTATTTGCTATATCTAATCTTTCACAACTTCACATAAGTAGTCTAAAACCTCAGAAGTTTGCCTAATTTGCAAGACATTCTATGGCTGTTCCAGAGTTAGCCTGAAGTGTTTAACTTTTACCTCTTTGTCTAATTCCCCTCAGAATTTAAAAAACAAGCAATCAGAGATTAATTATTTGATACAGCATTACCTCCCCTTAGCTTAGAATGTTCCCTTTACCTTCAGTGCTGAGAAGAACATGTGGACCGCTCCCATAACTAAGGCTTTTAATCTTCTTTCCACATAAGGCTTCTAACTTTTTGGGTACAAGTGTACTCTGGTTATCTCCAGTTCCTAGGCAGTTACTATAGTTCAGTCCAAATACAAAGACCTAGAAAACAAAGAGTTTTGTCTGAGTCATTTGGCCTAAAGCTAAATTAAAAGATCCCTTCTCCACTCTGAAAATAAGACACACTCAACTTCAATTTGATAGCTCAGTAGGTAAGAAGAGACTGATAAAGTTAAGAAAAATTCAACCTCTGCTAACATTACTTTTTACACTATTTTGTCTATACTATGAAATTCAAACAGTAGCATGGGGTAGAGGGGTTTAAAATCAAGAAACTGAAAGAAGACAGAAATTGTATGAAAGGCATAGTCTTCCTAAACTTCAGGTTCTCTTTACTCCACCTTTACTCAGCCTTCAAACTACGCACTTTGAAGCCCAACCCCAAAATAAGCTCTAAAACTGAACTCTAGGCTTGAAAAGATTCTTACCTCATCATTGTCAGTAACATACAGTGCTTCACTGGCTGAGGTGCCAAAAACACATGCTTTCCGAATAGATGCAATTTCCTGAGGTGAGAGCAGAGAGAAGATCGGCCACTTTCCTACATCCACCATGACTGACTTCAAGCAATTCCTATAAATAAGCCGACATCTCTGTTGGGACAAACAAAAAGCATTCCAAGAAAAAATTAAATAGTCACTAAGACAACTTTAAAAAAGGCCTGTTAATAAAAGCCAACTAAAGCTAATTCCAGAGTAAATGAACTACCTTTGGTTAAACAGATCACTCACTTCCTGCAGCAATGTGTCCAATCCTTTCTTCGCCTTTACACCTGGGCCTTTTCCTGGAACGAGAAGACATCTTGCTAGAACCAACTGTTTGTCTTGCCTGTTCACTAGTAAGTGTTTATCGTTCCACATGTGCTTACACGCAACCAGACAGCAGAAAACAGACAGAAGACATGCTACCTGGATGGAACTACAGCCTCTCCTCAGATATGTTTTCCCCCAGATATTTAGACAAAGTTAAAGATTACCATACTAGTTTGTCTAACACAGTTAATTCTCACCTAGGAATACGTGCGTGTGCTTGTGCTATAAAAACCAGAATCATTACCTCTACCTCCTCAGTCTCCCTCTACCACCCCCAAGATACACTGAAACACCCCATCCCTTGTAGAAAATCACTGCCACACAGAGCCACTGTTTAATGACGGGAATGTGACATCCCTCAGAGAGTCTAGAGTGGGCAAAATTCTAAGAAGCACTTGCTTTACAAGATGAAACCACAAAAGAAAGTATTATTTTCTGGTTCTAATTTCTTTTTCGGTGTCCGGCAACGGATCGCAACCCTCAGTGTCGCCCCCGTACCGGACCGGGACCGGCAACGGGATCGCAACCCTCGGTGTTGCCCCCGCCCCTCGCTCAGCCAGTGAGCGGGAACTGGTCTGTATGTGGGATCCGAACCCTCGGCGGGAGCGCTGCCGCACTTCCCAAGCGGCGCACTAGCGCAGTGCGCCACCGGGCCGGCCCTCTGGTTCTAATTTCTATGGCCATATTTTCTACATATAAACAGACTATATTTCATTCCACATTGAGAAAAGTTACCACATGAACAAAGTGAAACTTTTTTTTTTTTTGTCTTTTTTCCATGTCCGGCAATGGATCGCAACCCTCAGTGTCGTCCCCGCACTGGACCGGGACCGGCAACGGGATCGCAACCCTCGGTGTTGCCCCCGCCCCTCGCTCAGCCAGTGAGCGGGAACTGGTCTGTATGTGGGATCCGAACCCTCGGCGGGAGCGCTGCCGCACTTCCCAAGCGGCGCACTAGCGCAGTGCGCCACCGGGCCGGCCCTCTGGTTCTAATTTCTATGGCCATATTTTCTACATATAAACAGACTATATTTCATTCCACATTGAGAAAAGTTACCACATGAACAAAGATAAGGCAATTTATCCTAATCTTGATGAGCTGATGATTATAGCCTTCATTCAAGTTGCAATTAGATTAAAGTGTACTCTACGAGAAGTAGAGAGATGTATAAATTTCCATAAAAGTCTGAACTTCATCTGTTTAAGAAGTTTTACACATTCAGATCCCCTTACCAGCCAGCTGCTAAAAAAATAAAAAAACCCAAAACCAAATAAACAAATGAAAGAAGTTTTATGCAAAGAATCCTGGTCATGGCTCCAATTTTTCTAGCATTAAGAAGTATTTCTAAAAAAAAAATTCCAGGGGGCTTCACAAGCACAAAATCCTATCATGCCAAGTGAATTCCCATTCTGGTTCTCACCTCTGGAAACTGAAATAGAAAGAAACAGTTGGCAAACCAGAGTTTCCTAATGAGGTCCAGAACACTTGAAGTTCCTTCCTACTCATATCCTCTCCTTAGACCTCTACAAATAGCCAAGAGAAGAGGGCTCGGGACCAGTTTCTTTCTGGCCCCAGCATCTCCAATAGCTAACACTTGGGGCTTGGGCACACTTAGCCAAGGCCTCAGTTCCCACCATCCAGAGAGATTTTTCCCATTGATACCAACTTGGGTGATAAGGATCAGGTGCCTGCTATCTGCCCCAATTATCATACCACATATTCGATAAGTATTAAATACCATCAAATCAGGCTATTCCCTGTCACTGCACAGCCAGACTCCTCAAATAACACTGGAATGTTCTGACTAGTGTGTGTGCATGGGTGCATAATGTGTGCACGCGCACGTGTGTTGTGTGTGTGTGTTGGTGGGGACAGGTAAAGGATTAGGGGGTGGGAGAGTAATACCCGAACATGATTAAAAAAAAAAAATTGTTTCAAATGGCACAAAAGGGTGTAGGAAAATAAGTCTCCCTATCATCCCTCCCTGACCTTCTCCTCAAAGGCAACCACTGTCATTAGCTGTTTGTAATTCCTTCCAGAGAGAATGTATACTCATACAAGGGTCTTCAAAAAGTTCATGGAAAGACTCACATAATCTTTTAATTCTATTTTTCCTCAAACTTTGTGAAGTACCCTTATATGAGCAATACATGAGTGTGTGTGTGTGTGTGTGTGTGTGTGTGCGCGCGTGTGTGTATCCTTAAAAACAAAAACACAAAGGGAAGCTTTCTCCCCCACTTGACAGTATATTGTGGAAATGATTCTGTATTAGCACATGTACACCTACTTTATTTCTTTTCAATGGCACTATAGCATTCCATTACATAGATTTAACAATTTACCTGTTTCCTACTGAGAGACACTTAAGTCATTTCCAGTCTTTTGCTGGATCAATACTGCAGTTATCACTTGCATACATTACTGTATACACATGTCTTGTTTTATACATAAACTCCTAAAAACTGAACTGCTAGGTCAAAGTCTAATAGCTACTTTACCTTCAACAGCTATTTCAAACTGTCCTCTAATGAAGTAGTACCAATATATAAAATCGCCATCAGTGTAGGACAGCACCTGTTTACCTACACGCTTACCACATAACATATCATCACTTTGTTTAAACCGGCATTGCTTCTATGATGAGTGAGGTTGGGCATCCTTTAAAGAAATAACCAGAATAATAGCAACAATAAAAACTAACTCTTATTACTAAGCACTGTTCTAAGTACTTACATTTATTAGTGCATATAATCCTTACTTTACCAATAAGGAAATGGAGGCAAAGAGACTTTATGAATTCACCCAAGCCAGTAGAAGGCAGAGTCAGGATCTGAATCCAGGCCACCTGGAACCAGTCTGCAGTCTTCACCTCTTGCTTGGTCTCATGTTTAAGAGCTTACATGCTAGCCTTTTGTGCCAAGTGCCTATTTTTTCTACTGGACTGCTATTCTTTTTCTCGATTTATAAGTATTCTTTGTGTGATAAGATTATCTTAATGCCTTTAGAAGATTAAAAAAAAAAAATTCCCCTCAGTGGCCTGCTTTGAGTCTCTTACAAAACAGATGGGGAAAAGGAGTCACAAGAAGTCAAGCACTAAAAATGCCTATCAGCAGGTAGATACATTTCAAGAAAATCCATAAGCATATAGATTTTAACATTACAACACAAAGAGATATTACCATTCAAAACCGCACAACTTCTTCACACTAAGATCATTAATAAGATATACAGGCAACTCTGCCCTAAGGGTTTGGTAATCTACTGCGAGATCAGGCTAATTTTCATAATGATGGTTTATTACATGGCTTGAGTTTTCCCATTGCTAAATTACTTGAAGCTTTATTTTACAAGGTATTTCTCCAAAGACTTGTAATTTAAGAGCCAATATAAAAAACAGTTCATATATCTTACATGTGCACACCCATCACAGAAGGAAAAAGCATCACCAATAGCTGGTATTATGGGAAGAATGGAGAGTCCTGAGGCCCATGCATCAGTCCCAGGTTTACTTTTAATCAGTCAGTGTGACAGGCCAAATACTTTTTTGAACCTGGGTTTCCCAAAAATCTGTTCCATTTCTAAAAATGTGTAACTTTATATCAAAGATGTAATGAAGAAGCTTTAGGGGATTTCTTCGATGCATGAGAGCAGGGGTAGTAATGTGGGCCAAGCATGTAATTACTCCTAGCAACACAATCTGGCAAGAAGAATAAAGAGCCAGAAGGAAGAAACTAACAATTATCAAGAACCTGCCTCGTCAAAGGCACGGTGTTAGGTAGCTTCATATACATTATTTCCTTTAATTTTCACAATGATCTTGTAAGGAGACTATGATCCACTCTTAACAGATGAGGATTGTGGTTCAGAGATGAAAAGATGTGCCAAAGTCACACAGCACTTAAGTGGCATAGTGAGGATTCAACCCCCACCTCTCTGACTCTCCCATCTTCCAGAGAACATCAGTCCTGGCCCTTCAATGGCTAAACTTCTCCAACATTACTATCTTCTGACTTTATCTTGTCTCATAAATGTACACCAGTATCTGCTTTTAAAGTGCTTCAAATATAAAAAGTACTTTCAAAAAACAAAAATTCCCCAAAATGCCTCTGCCTAGATTTGCCTGGTTAAACCTCATAAATGTCATTTATTCCTTTACTCTTCCAACTACACTGGGAGGCAGGCCCTGGAGATCAAACATGCTCTCTGTCCTCAGGGAGCTCACAACATTACAAAGTGTGTCCTTGGGCTAGAGACTGCTAAGGCACAAAGTACGTCTTCATCAGACCATACTCAACCTGGGCAGCTGAAGACATGAACAGATCTCCTCAGGATTCAGGCCAGGTTATCTGAGAAGTTCTGTGGAGGTATAAAAACACAGGGGAATAAATTTCAGGTCTATTGCACATCAAGGTGACTATAGTTAATGACAATTCATTGTATTCTTGAGAAATGTAGAGTAGATGTTATGTGCTATTACCACAAAAAATGGTAACTATGTGAGGTGATACATTTGTTAATTAGCTAGTGCTATGGGTTGAAAGTTTGTTCCTTCCACAGCTCATGTGAGAGCCTGATTCCCAATGTAGCACTGTTGAAAGGCGGGGGGGGGCCTTTAAGAGGTGATTGGATTGTGAGAACTATGCTCTCATGAGTGGATTAATCCATTCATGGAGTAACGGGTCAATGGTTTAATGGGTTATCACGAGTGTGGACTGGTGGCTTTATAAAAAGAGCAAGTGCGCATGTAAGCAAGTGCTCTTGCCATTCTTACCGTGTGGTTGTCCCTGTCGCCATGGGACTCTGTAAAGACCTCCCTCCCAGAAGAAGGACCTCACCAGATGTGCCCCCTGGACCTTGGGTTTCCTGGCTTTCAAAACAGTAAAAAGTCAATTTCCTTTCTTTACAAACTACCCATATTCTATTATGAGCGGGAAAAAACCAGACTAACACAGCTAGACTTAAGCATTCCACAATGTATATATACCT